CGTGACCAGCTCGCCCAAGAAGCGCCCACTGCTACAGCCACTGCTTTGTTTTTGTCGCATTGCTAAGAAATTATACTGGCCATATAATTATAAAAAGGCTGTATCTAGTCCAATAATAATAATAGTCTTCCGATGTCTTGCGAAATATCGGATTTGCAAGCATGAGGAACGGTACATCTCTATGAAAGGGAGTTCAAGTTACTCACGAGAGATGAAATGTGTAGCTACCTTTTTGTCTTACTGCTTTATTCACTTTTTTCCAGGAACTACTGGATCCATCGATGGTAACAACTGCTTGATTGTTAAAGGTCGATTTCAACAAAAACATTTTGAAAGTGTGTTGAGAAAGTATATCAGTGAGTTGTTCTGTGCCTGTCTCTATTTACTGTTTATGTGATTCCCGTTCTAAGGTTAAAAATTTCAGAGGAATACGTGATGTGCCATACTTGTCGTTCTTCTGATACCCAGCTTACGAAAGACACCCGCCTTTTCTTCCTCCAATGCCAAACATGTGGATCACGATGCTCCGTTACGGCTATCAAGAGCGGTTTTACGGCTATGGTTGGCAAGCGAGCAGCAGCCAGAAGAGCTGCTGAAGCAACTGCTGGCAAGTAATCTATCAGTGCCGTTGTTGAATTATTGATACTTTCTCGCCATTGTTGTTTTGATCGGTCGTTTTTGTTACTTTTCTGTCTTTGCGATGACAGCGGAAAGTGAATTTTTCATTGACTTTTGCGAATGTGATGTTGTTCTGCACTAGGCTATACTTGCACGTTTTTACACTCTTTATTGTGTTTTCTTTTTATACTGGTGGTTCGATTCCTCTAAATGATTCAATAAATTCTAGATGAGGTATATTTTCGTATTCAACATCTGTACAGAACAGATCACCTCTATATACAACAAGTTCACTGATTTTAATGCTATAACTGCCCCACTTTTTAGTTTGAGCCAAGTAGAACTGTACATTCTGCTGAATGAGGAATTTTAATCGGCTTCATCTTCGGTGAAGGATGGCTCTTTTGAAGCCTGCACTGAGGCTGCTGGAAGTGGTTGAACAGGGGAAATATGAAGAGGCATTATCAATCACAAACGCCGATGACCAAGATATAAAAGGTACGCACCTTGTCATGCATACTTTACTCAACCACTGTTTCATTAAGATGCAGTATAATAGCGAAGAAGTAGAATATGTTTAGGTTGTCTCGTTTCCGTAGCTCCCGATTTGATTTACAAAGTGGCTTACAGTTTTGGAAACCAGAATAACATTCAACTTAAACTTTTGCTCACCCGCCTTTTTGAGTAAGTCGTTTTAGAATGGGAAAAGTGCTCTTGTGTACCCATATATCAAGATATTTTAGTTTAATTACGTTAGTGCCACAGAAGTTTCGCATTTGTTACGAGTTACTCGTTTGGCGTACGTCACCGCTCCTTACTGATGTGCTTGTAAATCAGATAGGCTTGCTTATCACGGAGGAGTTCCTGGTTGTCTAGTAAGTAGTCTAAGAAACAATTGGTCTACATTTTGTTGGATGAACTATGAAAACGGCTTAGAAGAACGTGATGGTTTCGCAAGAAATTTTCCGCAAAATTCATAAAATAAATTCCTCTTTGTGCCTTAGGAGTCCATAGCCTTTTTGTGGCGAAATTCTTTAATCATCTCAAATTCTACTTCAGAGAGCAGCTCTGGTGGTTATATGTTCACTCCTTCGTTTTTAGCCCAGAATTGTGGAACCAGATTTGTAACGAGCTACCGATTAAGTTGGAAAAGAGACTGTGCGAGCGACTGGCTAGCCCTGATGAAGAGTTATGGTTTGCAATAGTGGAGTCCGCCCACGTTTTAGCCTTTTTCGACAAAATTCCATTCAGAGTTCCTTATAAGTGAGTTGATATTGCAAAACTTATGCTTTTTTTAACTTTTACAACATATGAGCGTTCAGAATTGAGCGTTAATCTGAAGTGTTCTTTAAGATTTGAAAAATTGATTGACGTAGTTTTGAACGAGATTGCTTCGGATGAGGCTGCAGCTTATCCTTTTTTGATATGGTATGCCAGGGAACATCCATTTTCCCCAAAGCTGCGTGAGTTATCATGTACTGCTATTAATCTTTTCCTCAACATTTCAAATGATCTTTCAGTGGGTCACACGGAGCCTACGGTATTGATTCCCAACGTATATGATTTGCGGTTTCTTCAGTTGCGGTTAGTGGAGGGGATATGCGAATACATCAGCACTAACGAGTTTAATCGGTCAGTTGCGACAGGTTTCTCTTTTCTTTCTTTTTTTTAACTCAACATAGATCTCACTTCTATGCGTTTATTTAGGTGCGATGGAACCTTCATTAAACCTCTTGCCAATGCTCTGAGATTTTTACATAAACTCTGTTATGACTGCCGTGAACTTTATGCAAGACATATCGACATTTACGCGGTAAGGCCCCTTAACTCACTTGTCTTCTAATCTAGCTTTGGTAAATTGAGCTGTGAACTTCCAGGAGATGTTTGTTCTTCTTGTTCGATTTATCGAAGATTTCGATGTGGAGGCACATCGATTTGTAATCATGAAAAAATCTCAGGAGATCATAACTTGTTTCCCAACGGAACTGCGGGTACTTCTTCTGAAACACATAATAGGAAGGATTATCAATGGGGTAAGATTTTGTTCATCTTATGGTGACCAATTTATATACAGTTTTTGTACAAGCTGGAAACAAAATTCCCAACTGGCCCTGAATTCCGTACTATTTACATATCTTGATTCTGGACATCTCCTTTCTTGATATCAATGTTAAGTGAATATATTTGAACGAAAATATACTTTAGACATACAGAAAGTCATATATAATCTAACCGTTTCTTACTAGTATATACCGAACAAGTAGTTTGTATCCGTTGGCATAATAAAATACTAGATTTCCCAAAGTAAATTGATCTGAGCATGCTACATATTGCAAAAGCAAATATAGCATTTATTTTAATGTCTTGGTAGTTTCCGTAGGATCCATGTCATTATTATGGCTAAACAGTACTCATTCCTTCTTATTTTTTGCTGTAATGACCAAGCTCAGCACTCAGATTGTTAAGAAGTGTGTATATGAAATGTTTGAAAAATAGGCTTAAGTTCAGTTCTTTGTGTTTTAGAGAAGTGGAGGAGATTCTTTACTTTCGTTTTTTTCTGGTCTAGTAGACATCTTTCCTCACAAAGTATAATGTTTTTTAAAAAAAAATCATCCTCTTATGCCAGTTTATCTAAATTTTTCTCATTCCAAGCTTTTAGACTCATCTGTTTTTGCCAAATGAGTCCAAGGTTTTGGCATGGTTGCTGGATCAATTGCAGCAAAACATTTGCGAGAAAGTCTGCATTGACGAGTTGGGCAGCGTATTTGGAATCTTGGAATGCGTCGCATACGATGATGTTCCCTCATCGGCTGCTTACTATGTTTCAGTTTTGCGGATAGTGAAGGCGTACGCTTGTCACTGGTTTGTTTTTTCTTCTCCATCACGATTCTACCGTCTTGCCATCCTCTAACTTTCGTGTTACTGAAATCAGTAGCTAACAAGTAGCTAACATCTTTTTTTT